GGACACAACATCTTTGTTGGTATGTGGTGCTGGGGAGAGAGAGAGAGAGAGAGAGAGAGAGAGAGGGAGGGAGAAGAGAGGAGAGAGAGAAGAGAGGAGAGAGACAGGACGAGTTTGGGATGAGGGGTAAAAAAGAGAAAGAGACTATGAAGAAGGAAGACTGCAGAGGAAGAAAGTGAGCGCTCAAGAAGGACAAAGAGGAGTGGTTGGGGGGTGGGGGTGGAGGCAGGGCGGGGAAGGGAGTCACCGCCCCTCCTGGCCGCAGGCTTTCCTTCAGATCCCTCTGTGATGCTACTGTTTGCAGTGATGCTCGGAGGGCAGGCACCTGCTGCTCTGTAATGATTCAGCCTCTTTCAGCCGTCGCGTTAACACAACAGGATGCTGTTGCTACTGTCACTGCTGCCTCTCCTGCCGCCGCCGCTGCTGCCGCCGCCGCCGCCGCCGCTGGTCCTGCTTTTGCTTTTACTTCTCCTGCATGACACTTGTTTTCTTCATCTCAGCACACACCAGCTTCAGATGCTTGAGGTGAGACACATGCCTTTCAGTTTGGGCTACTGGTTTACTTAATTAGCCAGCCATCATCGGCTCCGATTCTGTTTTGGCCCCTCCTGATCAGCCGGGATGGTTTGCAGAAGCATTTAAAAGAACTGGAAAAGTGGCCCAGAAACAACAGCTAAAGAATTATTACAAATCTACTTTTATCTTGTAGTTGCCAGAAGCTTTTCTTTCTTTTTTCTTTTCTTTTTTTTTCCTCTATTCTTCCAACTGAACTCCTCTCGCTTTTGATAATGGCCTTGGACTTGGACGACTTATCGATTTCCCCCTCTAAGATGCTGTCTCATTTGGTTGGGGGGGGCTCTGCATGGTAATGGACCGTGAGAGAGGCCAGGCCTTCTGGAGGTGAGCTGATGGAGATTTATTCCCCAGACATGTCTGAGGTGCCTCCTGTGAGGTCCTCTAGCCCCTCCACTCAGCTGAGTGCAGACCCATCTCTGGATGGGCTTCCGGCAGCTGAAGACATGCCAGAGACCCAGACTGAAGATGGGAGAACCCCTGGACTTGTGGGCCTTGCCGTGCCCTGCTGTGTGTGCCTGGAAGCCGATCGCCTGAGAGGTTGCCTCAACTCAGAGAAAATCTGCATTGTCCCCATTCTGGCTTGCCTGGTCAGCCTCTGCCTCTGCATTGCTGGCCTCAAGTGGGTGTTCGTGGACAAGATATTTGAGTACGACTCTCCTACTCACCTTGACCCTGGGGGCTTAGGCCAGGACCCTATTATTTCTCTGGATCCAACTGCTGCCTCAGCTGTGTGGGTATCGTCTAAGGCATACACTTCACCTGTCTCTAGGGCTCAATCTGAAACTGAGGTTCAAGTTACAGTGCAAGTTGGCAACACTGCTGGGTCCTCTGAACCTTCAGCAGCACCAACCCCGAAGAATCGTATTTTTGCTTTTTCTCTCCTGCCATCCACTGCACCGCCCTTCCCTTCAACCACTCGGAACCCCGAGGTGAGAACACCCAAGTCAGCAACTCAGCCACAAACAACAGAAACTAATCTCCAAACTGCTCCTAAACTTTGTAAGTAGAGAGACAGAGAGAGAGATGATGGTGATGCATAAAGGGTGGGATGCAGCTTCCAGGAGGTGTTCTCTAGAATCAGTGTGTAGCTGCTTCCTTTCTTCTTGGGTTTTAATTGCATGGTTTTATTGGAGCAAATCATGTGACTCTCATGCTCAGGGTAGTATTGAAGAGATGAGTAAAAAAAAAAATTGTATAAACTCCTGGTATTAATCAGTTTTCTAACAGCAGCTCCCTCCTGCTAGATGGATTGTTAAATCTGGGATTTGGGATTCAAAACTTCAGCATCAGAAGGTCATGCTTGAATTTAAGTTGAATTCAGTTTATCTCTGATGTTTTTAGAAATTAAAACATCAGGCCATCCTTTATTTTTTAATAGGAATATAACTTCCATATACCCATGAGCATTATTTGGCATTTTACTTTTCCCAATTTTAAAAGTTGCTCTTCCCCTCCAGTAGCCCCAAACTGCCTGTTACCTGTCTTCATCTCTTCTTCCTATTCCCTCACCACTTCTCCCCCACCTTTGTGTTTTCATTGTTTCTTCCCAAAACTGCAGCAAGTCTGTAGATCTTTATAGTGCTCAGCTCTCCCTAGCCTGACACTATTGCTGTCCCACCCAATTTGTACTTTTGGTTCCTGAGCACTTATCAGGAGCAGTTTTATTTTGTTCAAGACACATTGCAATTCTGCAGGAAGGGATTTTCCCAGATTAGTTTTGTCTCCTGTAATCAGACATTTAAATAGCTTCCTTGGCAGTCATTAACGTATAAGTTCCATTAGTGAAGTACATCATTTTTTTTCAGACATGTGTCATTTTAGCCTGCCAGGTTGCAGCAGCCTGTTTAATAACGTGTGAGTGAAGAGACTACGCTCTTAAAACAATTCAGAACAATATAATGCCGTCTGCACTGGGGCATTGCGATAGTTTTATAATGGAAAGTTGAAAGGATGAAACCATGACAGGTCAGATTATTCTAAACATCTACATATAGAAGGGAGGAGTTTTTATAGCTTTCCCCTTTAATATTTTTACTTTTATTCTCTATCACTTTTTACCATTGATGAATGTTCACTTACAAGAAAAAAAGTAAAAAAAAAAAAAACAGAATTTTTTTTTTCTCAAAAATGTCTTTAAAAATCTTTCAGAGGTAAAAGAGTTGAAGGTAGAGAATCTGTGATGCAATATCCTATCTGTTTTCCCTCTAGATCATAATGAAGACTAAAGAATACCTCCTTCAGACATTGTGTTCAGTATGCAGTAGTGCAGTGTGTTACAGAAAGACAGAGAGAACTTGCTATGTGCTTGAAAAGATTCAAGATCTTTCCACACACACAACATTTTGGTGGCAAAGACTTGAAAAGAAGCTTCTTTTTTTCCCCCAGATGTAATTAGGAAGACCTTTCTTATGCAGACACTGCTTTGCATCTTTATGGAATCCCTGAAGCATCATTAAAGGTCTGACAGATATCACTGCATTCTCTGCCTCTTCCCACCTGGCAAAGTGACCGGGAAATAATACCCAGATGAAATGACAAGCTATAAAAAGCAAGTGCAGATCCTGCATAGGGAAGCAAAATTCACCATGAAGGCAAGGTTACTTCTTTGTCTTCATGATTTTCAACCTAAGTCTTTAATGAAAATATTCCTGGATCAGTTGAATGAGTTCTTACCCCCGACCCCCTCAAAATGGATGGTTATTTGGAAAACTCTTTAGCTAAATTATACAATTTTGTCATTTGATGAAATCATGCAAAGAAATATGCAGCATATTTTTCTGATCTAGGACCTTGTTAGAAAGTAGTTGTGAAGTTTTAAGAAATTGTTTCAAAGGGAAATTCTTCTAAGTGTTTTAATAGCATGTACATCCCATCTGGTATATCTTTTTCTTTTTCTTTTTCTTCCCCCCCCCCCGCCCCCAAGACAGGGCATTGATTTTGTGGCATTTGCAATAAGGGGATAAGATTTACTGCTGCCTAAAAGCATCATCGTGGCCAATTCTGGCCAGATACACAGCTGTAGCATTCTGAAGTCCATCAGAGATAACCAGTCTGGAAAAATAGTTTTCTCCTGAAAACTTAGGAGTAGACAGTCGGTTAACATTTTAAAGCCCATAGGAAACTCTAAGTGGGAAACTGTTTTTTTTTTTTTAGACAGGTACCTTAAAAAAATTATGAGTTCATTTTTTTTGGGGGGGGGTAGGGGTTAGTGTAGGCAGCTTTGCTTTCAGAAACTTGTAATTTGTTATTTTTGTTATTTTAAAAGCTTATAGCCATTAAATAAAGGAAAACAATAAAATTAAAAAGCTTAGAACGGAATTATATTTTTTTACAATTAGGTATTGCTCAGTTGCAGAAAGAACTGGGCCTGTCCTCTCATCATGCATGTTTTTGACATGAACTAAGCTGTCACAACTTGTATTTTTAAATGACATTATCATACCTGAAACATGCTCTGCCATGGTTTCAGGACTTTATGCTTCCTTTTCCATTTTCCTTCTTTCTCAGCATATTCAGCATATTATACATAGGGCTGTGGCCTTCAAGGTCATGTCTGTTGAGGGCTAATTGATTCTTCTTTATCCTGGAGCCTGAGAGAGTAGAAGAGGGACAATCCTAGTAATTGTGTCTGCTGTGTGAGTCCCCAAACCAACCTATCTCCTTGTATTAGAGTTTCATTTTATAAATACTAGAGTTATTCCCTTCCTCAATGACTCTTGTTAAAGTACAACAAGTTTTTTTTTGTCTTTATTAGACTAAAAAAAGTACGAATCATAGCATTTTAAATTGCCTATAGGTATAATGACTATGTCTGGTTTTCCAAAATTAGTATTTCTTTCATTCTATAATTTTATGTTTTCACTGCATTAATGTATGTAGACATGTAGTTATTATGAAATCTAACATATGACTGGATGAAAATATGTATGTATGTGTAAATATATATATATATGTATATATATATATTATTCTGAAGTTTTTCTATGTGTGTTTAGCAACTTTTCACCACTACAAAGATTATATTATTGTGATACTAATTGAATTTTTGATTTGCATTGAATCACATAATACTTGGACCATTTGAGAGGAGAGGAGGGTGCTGGGATGGAACCAGGATTTTGTATATGCTAGACAAGCACTCTGCCACGGAACTGTACACTCCTCAACCCAACTCATTAACTTGTTTTCTTTGGCTAGGCCTTAGAATTTTTCTTACCCTCATTTTATATGGAAAAGACTGACACTTTTGGGAGGTTGCAAACTTAGACTAAAAAATTTAAAAGAAATGATTGTTTAGAGTATAGTAAGGAAACTGTGGTACCATCTTGAAATAAAATGTTTTCTGGATGGGAAACCCAGCTTGACAATAGACTCTCAGATTCAAGAATATATTGGTATTTTCACCGTGGGCCAAATTTGTTTTGCTTTGTCTTAAATCTTTTTATTAGGTTTCATGGTAAACCATTATTACCACAGTGACAATACGAATCACCACCATGTGCAAAAGATCAACATGACTGAACATACCAAAGAGTTTCTTTCCTTTGGTTTCAAAGTACCATTTTAGTTCAAGTTTATCCTTTTCCTAGTGCCTCATGATTGTACTTGAAGGGGTTTTGGAAGTGATTTCAAATGACTTTTCTGCACTTTAAATGTTTGTTTATAGTCTAAAACATTAAAAATTGGAAGAAACTGAAAGATTCTCAATTTGAACTAAATAACTGAAGCAATTAGTAAAATTCTTCTATGAAAAGTCACTAACCTAAAAAATTAAAAGAAATGGAAAATTAGTAGTAGCCTACCTTCCAGAATTTAAACACACATTTTATCCCTGTTACAGAGAGTTAAAGCTGGAGACTTAAATCTAAGTGACTAGCAATTAGACAGGTACTTTAAATGGGACCACTAGTAAAGTGTGTATAGTTCGTATCACCAAAATTAATTTTTTTTCTCGCCTTCCTGTTTTTCTCTTATTAAATTTTTCTGTAGTGGTGGTCTTTTTCCTCTTTATCCAATCAACCATACCATATTCAGCTTGCTTTTGAAAACAGCGTGGGTTGCCCAGGGTGAGCTGTTCCCTAATAGATAGCAGATGGCTATATGGCTCACCTCTTTCCTGTACATTCTGCTTCTGTTTTTTCCTCCATATTCCTTTGTGATACCCAGATCAGCCTTCTTCCTGTTCTTCCTTCCCAATTATATTTTGAATCTCTCTAATTCTAATTCTCTCTGTCCTAATTATGATATTCTGGCTTCACATGTCAGTATTTCATTGCATCCTAAGATACCAATGCATCTTCACCTGTCTTTTCATATATAACTTTATTCATTGCATTTTAATACTGACTTGTATTTTCATATGCCACAAAATACATACAAAAAAACAGTCTCCAGCCACCAAAAATGTACACCACCTTCTTGTTGGCATGATCAATTTAATTACATGTCCTTCTTTTTTGTTTCCCTTTCTTAGTGTGCTCGATGCAGGTTTCTCTGCTGATCGCTGGTATGCTTATTCATACCAGCATTTATGCATTCCCAGAAAATCATTAAGTCCTAAGTCATGCAGCTTTGTTCTTCCTCCTTCTCTTGTTCTTTTAATAACACGTCATAGTGTCCTTTTAAAGCATGAAGGAAGAGATATTTTATAGATCAAATAACCAAAGCATTAAAAAGTTATGGCTTGTCTAGAAGTTCCTGAGAACCAAGGATATAACCCTTGTCCACTGAGTTTATTGAACTTTCTACTAAATCATACATGTCTACTTTTATGCTCATGGCTCCACTTTTATTATTGTTTCTATATGTTACTATTTCATTTTTTCTTTTATTATTTCCTGTTTCTCTCCATTCATCAAAGTACATTAAGTGCTTACTATGTCTCAGGCACTGTTCTTAACTGGTTATGTGGTAGTGACAAAATGTAGAAATCATTGCCCTCATGCAGCTTATAGTCTAGTGGAATTTAAGACTCTGGCCACATAACTCACATTGAGATA